CCGCCCCCGCTGGGCGCACGTCCTGCGGCGGCGACCCCGCGGGCGGCATCCCCAGCCGCCATGCGGTTTCACCGGGAAATGACTTGACCGAGCTGCAACTGGGTCGGCTGGCGAAGGCTAGATTCTATTCCGCAGATCACGGCGGGGACCTCCTGCAGGCAGTCATCTGTCATCCGCGAGAAATGACGCATATGAAATCCCTCTATCGCGCGCGCCGTGCGCGTTTAATACATCCTGGAGACCTCTATCAGGAAACTCGCATCTCAGGGCGGAAGGGGCTCGATGGCGAGTTCAGGGGGCCCCTCGGCGGGGCGGGCTTCGGCCCCCCGAATCCTCGAGAAGACGGGCGCCTGATTCTTCGAAAGAGCAAAAACGACGCAAGCCGAAGAGAGGGCGGTGGGCGCCTTCCAGCCCGCCACGGGCCCCCTGGCCCGGCGATCGCCCCCCCCCCCCCGTCTCGATTTTTAGTCGACGGCCGCTCCTTCCAATCTACGTTAGCGTGGCTCCCGAAGAGCGACTGCCCCGTCTCCGTCGCCTGGTCCAAGGCAGAGAAGATGGCCTCGTCGGACGGCCACTCCTCGTCCGAGAAAACCCAGCTTCGCGGGTCGGCGCAGGCGCCGAGCTCCGCGGCATCGGCGCCCGCCGACCCAGCATAATATTGGACCCCGCCAATGTTGTGCGATTCCTGGCCGGGCTCGGCGCGGGGAGGGGGGGGGGCCGTCGCGCCCCGGGCATCGCTCGAGCAACGCGGCGCGTGGGCCCAACAAGTTCGGAAGATCTCCGGGCGGACCCCCGCTGAACATGGCGCGCAAATGGGCCTCGGGGGAGCCGGTCTCAGCGCTACGCCACTGCCAAAACGCACAATTTGATTGCGCAGAGATTCGGGCGCTCAGGGTTCTGACGGGGCCCCTTGAAGACCAGGGACCACGTCGGCTTGGGAGGTCGGCCGCGCGAGCCGCGCCTGGGAAGCTTCGCGCGAGCCCTCGGCGACTTCGCACTCCGCAGGCATCGCCATCATCTTGCAGGGGCGCGGCAGGTCGCCCTGAGAACCGTTGGCCGGGGCGCCCAGGGCCAACTTGCCCAGGATAGCTCTTCCAAGCCCCGGCACTGGTTTCCACAAGGGCGGGGCCCCGGGGAGCGCGATGGGCCTCTCCGCGGGGGCGGGGGGTGCCGGTCAAAAACCGAAGCCTGCAGTGTAGAAGCTCTCTCGCACAGCCCGATCCGAACAGGCGCGCGCGGGGAGATGCGCGAGAACCTCTGCGCCGGGGCGCCCTGGACAACCTTCGACAGGCCCTTTGACGCACAGAAAAAATCCAACGTCTTCGCCCCGCCCGCGGCGGTGCAGGCGCCGCCGCGCGGGGGCGCGGCGATCTGCCGCGACGCGCGCTCGGGGAAGCCGCTCCTCAGAACGTCGCCAGGGATCGCGTTGAAACCGCCGGCCGCTGGCACCTCCCAGGCATGGATGCCCTGAACTCCGCCGATCGAGCTCAAGACGCCCAGACTCCTGTCCGAAAGGCCATCCGAACAGTAAACCGAAGCTCATGGTCCCCAGGTACATCCACGATGCCAGCTACGGCTCTAGCTGGGGAGAGCTCGGAGCTCGGAGCTGCAGTTGAGCAGGGGGCGCAGGCCTAAGAAGCTGCAAGCCGCGATGGCAACGCCGCCTGAGCCGCCCCTGCACCTGGGGCCGCCGGGGAGAAGATCCCCTCCCATCCGTTGCGAAGGCGCCAGGCCGTCGCTTCATCGCAAGCGGTTTGTCGCGCTATGTGGCGCTCCTGGATGGCCACCGCGCGGGCCTGGGTCCCGAGGCGCCACTCTCTGCAAGAACCCGAAAGCGTGGGGTTGCACGTTTCAAACAGAAGACAAACGTAGTCCATGGACGGTGTCGCGGGTTCCCAAGAGAAAGCAAAACTGGAACCGACGCCAACCCGAGAGGAGACCGCGCTATCTCCCCTGCCAAAACCTCGGCCCTCATGGGGCCCGTCCCTGGGCGACTGGGCATTGATAAAACTGGCGTAGCTAGGAGCAGGCTGGGGGCGCCAACGCGCGGCGAAGCATGTCCTTCAGCTCAGGGCGGGCCCCAGAGGCTGAGACTACAACATGGTTTTGCTTAACAGGCTCAGTTTGCGTCTCGCTGGCTGGGACTCCGCCGCCAGCCTCAGGAACCGTCGCTGCCACCTGCGCTGCCGCTGGGTCCCCGCCTCCAGCAGCAGCCTCTCGATATTCCTGTGTACCTGGAGTGCATCTTCTTGGCCAGCCGAGCTCGGTGCGAACGGTGTCCATCGCGAGCCTGACGGAACCCAACTGCCGCCACACCCAGGAGCGTCATCGCCAAATCCTTGAAGCCCGCCTGCAGTTGCTGCTTCCTCTCGCCCAGCTGCTTGGTGTCCTCCGAAATGAGCTCGTATTCGTCCAGGCCTGTGATCAACTCGTCGTCGAGCTGCACGTCCAGGCTGTCATCGCCGTTGGCCAGGGCCGTAAGGCTGATCGATGCATGGGCAACCTTGGGCGCCGCCTCTTCTTCACCTGAACTTCCTCCCTGGTCTGGATGACGAGCTTCTTGTACTGGCCTTCGTACTGGTCCAACTCCTCTGGCAAGGTCTTGATGTGGGCTTGAAGTCCCAGCACGTATTGCTGCAAGTTGTCAAGCCGATCCAGTTCACGATGGAGCCGCGTCTCCAGCTGCTTCATCTTTGACTGGGCCTGGGACGCTCTGATGTTTAGGCTGGTGGGGTTCTCCTGCTTGGGGCGCTGGCTGAACTCGAGGGCCTTCCTGGTCTTCTCGTAGCGCTGCGCCGGCGCGTGTTGCCCCTGCTTCGCTGCGAGGGATGGGAGGCACGAGCGCAAATTCCCGATCAAGAACATCAGCGTCAGCATCGCGAGCAAGACTGCCAATCGGGGGATAGACGATCTGACAGGATGCCGAAGAGTATTCCACCTTGCAGTGCTTGCACCACCACCAGTTGAGATTGTTGCTATGCACAACCACACGCGCACTTCCAAAGCTGCCTCGGGCCCGCGACTTCCTGTCGTTCGGCGGATATCCCATGGTGACGGAAGTGTGCGCGAAAGCATGGGAGCCAAATTCACTCGCAACTGCAGCGCCGTTCTGAAGTTCGTTGATGCAAGCATAGGCATCGCCTGAGCCAGAACGGCTGGGGAGGATGGAGTGCGGGAGGAGAATTGGGGAAAGGGGGCGGGAGGAGGAGGGGGAGGGGACGGAGGCGGGGCAGGATAGGCAGGGGGAGGCGGAGTAGGGCCAGCCAGGTGCGTTCGTGCCATTGCGCTGATGTTTTTTCTATCCGCCGACAAGTGTCATAGCGGAAATGGGACCCCCCAAACGGATGCCAGCGCGTTCTGCGCAATCTGAAGAGGGGAGCTGTGTACATTGGAGGGTGGAAGCGGATGAGCAGGAAGATGAGGAGGAAAACGAGCAAACGAGTGGAAGTGCAAGAGCAGCAGGATCAGCAGCAGCTGGAGGAGCGGGACGAGCGCAAGGGCAAGGGCAAGGCGGGGAAGGTGAAAGGAAGGGGGCGACAATGATGAGGAAACACCTGGATCCAGAAAGGTGGCTCGCGCTGGGGCGAGTGCGTCATTCTGAACGACGAAAGCAAAACCACCAATGAGGCCGCCGCTGCAACGGGAGCGCCATGTCGAAACATAAAACACCGAAAGCGCTCCCATTGAAAAAGCCATCCAGGAGACCAGCTTTTGAAATCCTGCGTTTGGAGACCAACGCGCGGAGAGGGCCGGCGGGACGCCTCCAGGACGTAGTATGGGGGCGAGAAGGGAGTAGTACTCCTTTTGAGTACCATCTGTGGAGAAGAAGCGGAATGGGGGAGGGGGAGGAAGGGGAAGGAGGAGGGGGGGAGGGAGAAGTGGAGAGGGAGAGGGAGGATGGACTCGGCTCTCTGGCAGTCGTTCGGGACGATCTGGGCACCCCCGGAACGCGCTCGGCGATGGGGAGGATGGTGAAGATGGGGAGGATCAATGAGATCCGACGTCGCCCTGGACCCCATCTTTCTGCGCCATCTTTCGAGCCAGATCGATCTACAAGGGCCCCAGGGCCCGAAACTGGGCGACAACCCCAGCGCGGCAGTTCAATGTTGAAGGCAGCCATTGGTCCCGCATCGGCCAAGATGGAAAGATCTGGCGATCGAGAAGCCGCCGATCGTTCAAGCTCGAACCATCCACGCGGCGTCAGACAAACGCAGACGCCGACGTCGTGACGTCACGAAGTTGCCGTGGCTCGCCCTTTTCCCCCCTCGTCGTCCGATCGGCATGGCAAGGGTGGCCTGGAGATCTTGCGCGGAAAAAGTGAGACACCAGGATCTCAGGGATGGAAGAGACGAGGGTCGACGAACGGAATGGATGGGCTTAGGGGGAAAACATCGAGCTGGAATTGGCGATGCATCACCCACAGGGGCCTGACAGCCAAACCCGCTCAGTCAGGAACGTGCGGAGTCGCTATCGGGGGGGGGGGGATCGCCGATCTTGCGGCGATATATCGCCGATTCTAGCTCAATGCCTACCCCCTGAGCCTCCCCTCCCCTATCGATGCCCCAGAGGTGGAACAAACATGTTGGCCCGGGCGAAGAATTTCCAAACTAATTACCCAAGAAAACTGAGACCGACCTATTGTTTGAGAGTGCCGCGGCCCCGAACCAGGAAAATCTAAGGGGTCTAGCTAACTTCTTCCTGACCGCCAAAAGGCGGAGCCCCCGTTAGCAGGCGAAGAATCTCAAGGATGGAGGTCGGCGTCGAGCCCCTGGGGGAAGTGAGGAGGGGCGGGCCTTCTCAGAAGGCTCGGACGTCCCCCAGCCTTCAGAGAAGCTTTCTGAGCCTCTGAAGATGCAGCAGGCTTCTCAGAAGGCGCGAAGGCCTCTGAGAAGTCCCGCCGCCTGCTGAGAAGACATTCTCCTTCTCGCTTCCCCCCCTCACTCGCCGCCGAGGAGGGGCAGGGCACCGGCCCCCCGCCCCCCCGCAAAGCGCGGCGCCGCCTGCGCGGGCGCTGCGCCGGGGTCCCCGCCTGGTGCGGGCGGCCTCGCCGCCGACGCGCGGAGAGGCGGCGGCAGCAGAGGGCCGGCGCGGAGCTCACGCTGGACGGGGTATTTATCAATCGGGGGGTGGTTGACCTTCCGACGGAGCTTGCCCTACCCCCTCCTCCCTCCTCCTGCCTCTTCTTCTTCTCCTCCTCCCTCCTCCTCCTTTCCCTCCTCTCCCTGCTCGGAAAGCCCATGCTAAGTTTTGCCTTGCACGGCGAGAGGGTCGGGCGCGTTGTGCCTTCCATCAGCGTTCAGACCTAAGCAGCAACATCCCAGCAACACTCCTCCTACACTCGTTCCAACAGCGTGTGTCGCGGATCCGAGGGGGGGCGATGATTGCGTCGTGGCTTGGCTTTGCCATCCTGGCTTGGCCACGGGCGCCGGGACGGGCCTGTCGAGGGTCGGCCGGGACAGTGGGCTGAAGATCACCAGCGGCTCTCTCCGCCTCCCCTGCCCGATCGGGCAGCGATACTGCGAGCTGCAGCGGCCAGGCTGCGGCCTCGCCGAGCGAAGCTGGGGAAGCAACTATACACCGAGACCGATACCCAAACATGTTCGCGTCGTGACGAAAACCACGACGAGAATTTGTTTGGCTGTTTTCTGGCTCCTGGGGCCCTCGCTGGGTCCCGGGACCGCCACAAACCGACTCAGGATGAAACGCCGGCCCTGGGGAAGGGGTCGGGACTTTCAGGGACCTCGTATTGAACAAATCAGCACAACGGATGTTGTGGGTCTGACAAGCACCTCAAGAAGAAAGAACCGCAGGCGTTCGCGGGAGGCAGGCGGCGCGAGATCTGAGAGAGCGTGATCCACCGCCGCTATACTATGGAAAATTCCCCCCCCCCCCCCCCCTCTTCCTCCGGAACCCGGGGGTCTCCGCCCCCTCCAAAAATCCCCCCCCCCCCTGCCGAACTTCGCCCCCCCCCCCCCCCCCCTCCCTCCCGGCAAAAACCCCCCCCTCCCCCTTACCCCTCCCCCTCAGGAAAACCAGGGGGGGTCACTACCAGTTCGACCCCCCCCCGCCGCGAAAACCGGCCCCTCCCTCCCCTCCCCCCCTCAAAAAACCGGGGGGGGTCACTACCGGTTCGGAAAACCGGGGGGGGTCACTACGGTTCGAACCCCCCCCCCCCCCCGAAAAGGGGGGGGTCACTACCGGTTCGAACCCCCCCCCCACCCCCACCGCTCTCCCCACTTTCACCACGCTCCCCACCACTGTCCCAGTCCCCACTGTACCCACCACTGTCCCACTGTCCCCGCCGCTCTCCCACTGTGCTGTCCCACCGTCCCCACTGTCCCCATCACTCTCCCACTGTCCCCACTGTCCCCACCACTTTCCCCACTGTACTACTGTCCCACCACAGTCCTCACCACCGCCTTCACCACTGTCCCCGCCACTACCGTCCCCACCACTGTCCCACTGTCCCCACCACTGTCCCGCTGTACCCTCACCACTGTCCCCACCACCACCGTCCCCACCACTGTCCGCACCACTGTCCCACTGTCCCCGCACCACTGTCCCCACCACCACCGTTCCCACCACTGTCCCAGCATCCCCACCATCGTCCCACTGTACCCACCACTGTCCCACTGTCCCCGCCGCTCTCCCTCTGTGCTGTCCCACCGTCCCCACTGTCCCCATCACTCTCCCACTGTCCCCACCACTTTCCCCACTGTACTACTGTCCCACCACAGTCCTCACCACCCCCTTCACCACTGTCCCCGCCACTACCGTCCCCACCACTGTCCCACTGTCCCCACCAGTCCCGCTGTCCCCTCACCACTGTCCCCACCACCACGGTCCCAACCACTGTCCGCACCACTGTCCCACCGTCCCCGCACCACTGTCCCCACCATCACCGTTCCCACCACTGTCCCAGCATCCCCACCATTGTCTAACTGTCCCGAGGAGCGGGGATCGTTTGCCGGCGGCGAGGGGGGGGGGAGGGGGGGAGGGGGGTTCGAACCAGTAGTGACCCCCCCCGTTTTCGAGGGGGGGGGGGGAAGGGGGGGGTTCGAACCGGTAGTGACCCCCCCCCTTTCATGATGGACTGGGAGGGGAGGAGTTCGAACCGGTAGTGACCCCCTCCCGGTTTTCGACGGGGGGGGGGGGTCGAACCGGTAGTGACCCCCCCCGGTTTCCCCCCAGCAACGGTAGAACACGCTTTTCACGAGATCTCGACAGCATCGCAGCCCCGAAAAGCTCAATGCCCCTCAGCATGAACTTTGGGAGACCTGCGCGGGTTTCTTGGGTCCTTGCTGGGCGCGCCAAGGATGGCGCTGGAAGCGGCGCGGGGTGGGTGGGTGAGCGCCGGCTCAAGAAATCCGCGCGGACCTCCGACTTTTTGTGTGTTTGTCTCTCTCTCTCTCTCTGTCTCTCTGTCTCTCTCTCTCTCTCTCATGACGGCGGGGACTCCCGCGGAGGCCAAAACATGACCAAAAGTGTCAAATCCTGTGCGCCTAGAAACACATTATTACTCAGAAGGCCCTGCTCCAGAATGTGACTGCCCCGAACCCCGACACCAGCTTCCAAAAGTTCAAAACGAGAAAGACTGGCCGTCTCGACCGTTTTCGTGGTGCAGGGTCTAGGAAAACCGCGAACGTAAAATCATAGAAGCCTATACGCCCACTCTTCCCAGAGAGGCCCTCGGCTATACGCAAGAGTGGCCCTGACCCTAGGCAAGAGTGGCCTTTGGATGGGGCCGCGGGGGGGGGGGGGGGGGGGGAAAATCCAAGCGCGCAGGTCAAGGCTGGGGGGACCCCTGTCGGCCCGCACCAGAAGTAAGAGGCCCCCCAAATGGCTTCCGAGTAGATAGGGTCGGAGGATCGCGCCGCATCGCCAATGCATCGGGGCCGTCGGCGTGGAGAGAATGAGGCTCCATATCGAACCGCATTCGCGATGCATCGTCGATGCGGCGCGATCCTCCGAACACATCTACGTACTTCGACCCCGCCTGGGGGGCCCGCAGGAGGTCAATCCCGCGAAGGGGCGCTCCTGCGCGCGGCCAGGCGTGTGCCCCGACCCCTTCCTGCGCGCCGCCAGGGCCTCGAGAGGGCGATCCGCGACATCGTCGCCACCGCCTCCGCCTCCTGGCGCGCCTGCGGGCCCGGAGGGCCAAGAGTCCAGGGTGGGAGGGCTGCAGTCGGAGCGGGCCAGGGCGAGAAGAGCGGGGAGGTATACGTGCATGTGCAAACCAATCACCTTTGCTAGGCGTAGTTCTACAGATGTGTGCGTATCCAGATATATGTGTATGCTTGCGTGTACATAAATAGGTATACAGACATGCACACGTAGTCTACGCACGTGTATCTATAATCCACCATCGTGCCACGAGGCACTGCGTGGAGTGTTCTCAGACCCCTTCGATCCCTCTGTATTGAATGTTGCAATGGTCTTCAAGGGTCGAGAAACCCAAATAATGGATCTGCTGGGGCTTCTCGCGTGACTTGGCCAGAGGGCAGACAGCCCCACGACGGGACAACAGGGCCCCAAGAGGCCCCCGTAACGGTTCAGGAGGGCTTCGTGTCGGTCCAAGATCGCCCCCAGATGCCAAAGATACCCCTCAGACGGCCAGAAGCCGTCGATACGCCCCAACATGGCCTCAAGATGCTAAATATAATTGTTTCCCATTGGTTTGGAATTATTTTAGCGTTCTCGCCTTGTTCGGTTTTTCGACAATCCAAGATACCCCAAGAGGCCCCAAATATCGTTCCAAGACGCCCCAAAAGAGGCCCCACATATCGTTCCAAGGGAGCACATCGAAAAGTACACGGCCAATCTACCAGCGCAGCATCCAACTGAACTGGGCAAGATCGCATGGGGCACGCCATCGACAAGCGCGCGGTGACTGCAGTCGTCGGCAACCTGAATGGCCTTCACGACCTGATCGCTGCGACGACGTGGTTGCAGGATAAACTTGCTTCCCTTGGGGGGCCTCGTCCGGACAAGGTCTACTCCAAGGGCGACTTCAGCAGCATCGTCTTCGCCGAGTTCCACGACACCGAGGCGCGGAACCTCGCAGTTGAACTCTTGCGCAGAGCGTGCTTGACGTCTGGGGCGAAGCAGGTGTGGGCAAGCCAGGACAAGCCCGCCACTGAGCAGGCCGCCAGAAACTTTTGCTTCGGGTTGAAACGAGTTTTCAAAAAGGAGTGGAACATTCCCTACACAGTCACCGCGAGCGACGAGGCACCGTACACAGTGACGGTCGGAGGGGAAATGGCCCTGATAGCGCACGTTTTTCCGGATAAGGTAGCTTACGAGTGGCATGGTGAATGGGCGGATTGGCGTGAGCTCCACAACAGCCCCGAGGTAGTTGAGCTCCAGAGCAACTCAGACAAGTAAGTGGCCAAAGCGACGGCGGGCATGAAGGGAGGGAGCAAGGGCATGACAACGGGAGGGGGCAAGAAAGGAGCCAAAGGACGTGGTCCAGAATAGGGGCCACTGAAGACGCCGGCCTCACCACTACTGCCGGCACGATCGATGGCAGAACTGGGCAAAGCTACCAGCCAGCCTGCACTACGGCAAGAAGATCCTCGACCTCTTCATGGACGCACTCACCTATACCTATTTTCACATACCCGATCTCCCACTTCTTCCCCTTCCTATCTTGGATCCGCCTCGGGGCTGGGCAAAGATGCCACCGCCGACAGCGCTCCTCCATCACATTATGAAGATGTTGATTTGGATGGTCATCCTGGCGACTGTACCAGAACGCCTTGCGGCATGGGCGTACATACAACGACGAAGATATCACAAAATACGGGCACTCATACTTTTACTTTTTCTCATTCGGCACCTTCCCCATTAGGTGGCAATCCTCTTGGCGACAGTCGTTGGAAACCGCGCGAGGGCATGCAATGGGGTTGCCCCAAGAAGCTGTGCTACCCGCTGAATGGACCCAAACTGGCATCTTGGAACGTGGAAGGCTTAGGCCACGACATGGCGAAGCTACCAGAATTGCAATACCACATGAAACAACATAACATATCTATACTTTGCATCCAGGAGACAGGCATTACGGAATCCACGCACTTCGTCGACTCTGGTTTCTTGGTCATCTTAGCTGGCACGTCAGTGGAGACTACTGGGCGTTTTTACTCTGGAGTTGGATTCTTAATTGCCCCATGGGCGATCAAAGCGGTCGTCAGTTTCAGGCTGATTTCCGATAGGCTGGCAAATTTGAAAATCAAAGTCTCTGGTGGGACCCTAACTTTATTCACGTGTTACGCGCCACACGCTGGATATGAACATGAACAAAGGCGGACATGGTTCGACGATTTCACAGCGGCGTGGCCGCGGCATTTAGCTCATAACCGTACGCTCGCTAGATGGGGGATTTCAATACAAGGCTATATGAAGAAGAACAGGGTGACGATCATATCATGGGGAGTTATTTCTACCGGAACGCTTGGCCAAAACATCGGGACCGACTCAATAGAGAATTGCTGCTCGAATCTTGCCGGGCATCTGACATCAAGATTGCTAGCACGTTCTTCCCGCACGAGGCCGGCAAGCTCATCACATACTACGGCACGTACGCTTCCAAGACGGGGCAGGCTGTGGAAGGAGAAGACTTTGCTCAAATCGACCATTGCCTAATTGATGGGCCACTTTTGGGGAAAATACGCGATGTGCATTCGGATCGCACCGTGCCGCTGGCGAGCAGACATTTCCTTTTAGTAGTACACTTAGGCATCGACTTACACGCAATGGACAAACATACGGCGAAGCAGAATTTCGACCTCCGGGAGCTTATGACGGACAATGCGATCAAGATGCAATTCTGCCAGTACTTCCGCGAAGCCAACGAAACGACCACTGGGAGGGCAGCCACGATCAACGAGCACGCTTCCAAGGTGAATGAGGCGATGCTCGCAGCGTCAACTGTCCTCGCGCGCGCGCGGAGGTCAGCGCACAAACCATGGATATCACGCGCCACAGTGGCTCTACTGGAACAGCGTGACCGTGCGGGACACTGCGAACATGCACTGAACAAGCGCATCCGGGCGAGTGTCCGGGAGGACAAGCGGAAGTGGCTGGACGATCAGTTGGACAGCGGGTCTTGGAACGCCGTGCGCAAGTTGAGGAAAGGCAAAGCGAAGAAGCCTGTTCAAATAAGGGATGCGCACGGGCAGCTAGTGGACAGCGATCGTAGAGCAGACACTCTGGCCGACTATTTTGAAAAAGTGCAGTGGGCAGTGAGCTTTCCTGACCTTGCGGTCGAGGAGAGGCCCAGGATGGGAGAAACCCTCCCTGTAAATATTGCTGCGTTTTCCATTTGCGAATTGTCAGCTGCTCTCAGAGCTCTCTCCACAGGGAAAGCCGCGGGCATCGACGAGGTGCCTCCAGAATTTTATAAATCTTTGTTGTGCGATTCGGAAGCGATGCAATCGTTGCTGTCTCTCTTCCGGCGGTGCTGGGATGAGAAAGCCATCCCAGATGAATGGCAAATAGCTGTAGTCGCCCTCTTGTACCAAAAAGGGGACACCAGTCTGCCTGAGAATTACAGGCCGATATCTTTATTGCCCGTTGCCTGCAAAATCCTGGCCTGGATGATGCAAAAACGCTTGCAAAAAAGGAGCGCGGAGAGCCGAATACGGAATTCGCAATTCGGTTTCCGACCAAACGCATGTTTGATGCAGCGCAGGCGGCGAAAGCCCCTGGACTCATCGCGGTTTTCTTAGATTGGGCGAAAGCCTTCGATAAGATAAAGCACGACATGTTAATTGGAGCTCTTACTAGGTTTGGCATCCCACAACAGATGGTGGACATGATAGGAAGTATTTATTCAGCACGGCGATTTATTCTGCAGGATTCCGCGGGTAACTCGTCGCAGCGGTGCCAAGCATCAGGCATAGCACAAGGCTGCCCCCTCTCGCCGTATTTGTTCATTATCGTGCAGAGCGTGATGTTTTTCGACGTTGATCGCGCAGTGAAGGGCGTGCACACAGATGTCGTCGAACCAGAAATTTTAGTTTGCCCAGACATTTTATACGCAGATGATACAATGCTTGCGAGTAGCTGCGCCAAGAAATTGCAGACGTTGCTAGACGCTGTGATTTGCGAAGGAAAAAAGTACGGCCTCGAATTAAATTGGGCCAAGACGGTGGCCATTAATATACAGAACAATGGGGTTTGCAATGCGCAGTGTCTCAGGCGTATTTGCCGCATTCCACATTCATATTTGTCGAGAGTGTCCAACGACCAAGTTTTGAACATATGTCGAGCCCGCCCTCTCAGTGAGGCGCTTTGTGAGAGACAGACTTCGCTATACAACAAGATCGCAGGGTTGTCACAAGACCACCCGCTGCGAGTTCTCACCTGCAAACCCAGATCATATTTACCTCGGGTCTGGGACCAATGCCGGAAGAGAGGCAGACCGAAGCAACAGTGGGCTTCGTGACGGCTTCGTGTGTTTACAAGCTTCTGCCACAACAGTGGTCCTGAGGTGGTCCCCCCCCCCTTCTTCGTTCCCTCCTCCCTCCGCCCCCCCCCTTCCTCCCCCTCCTCCTGCGTGGCGCCGATACGTTTGCAGGTGAATTCGTATCCTTCTCACTGCCCGCATTTCTCTGCCACAAGCATAACTTTTTATCTTGCCAATGCGCCGTCTGTGCGCCAGGCTTGACTGACTCTCGCCTTGTTCGGTCTTTCGACAATCCAAGATACCCCAAGAGGCCCCAAATATCGTTCCAAGACGCCCCAAAAGAGGGCCGCAAAACGGCCCAAGAGGGTCCCAGTACGGCCTAAGAGGTTTCCCAAAGAGCCCCAAGAGGGAGAATGCGAACGGGCCTTGGGAGCGATGTATCAAGCAATGCCCACAAGACCCCCCAACGAAACCTCTAAGGAGCCCCTAGAAGCGAGAAGTGCCCAAGAGTCCCCAAAGAGACTTCAAGAGGCACGGTGGCGGGATGGACTGAACTCCGCAAAATCCGACGCCCCCTGTTGATCTATCACAAGGGTGCCTGGCGTGCTAGACCCTGCTGGTTTTGTTTTGGTTCTTTTTCGAAACAACTCTCCCCTGGGCCTCAGGTCCGTGCCGCCGGCCTCCCGGAAAAGGTGGTTGCCGTGCCTCCCCAACGGCCGTCTCGTCTCGCTCGGGACATCCTCAAACAAATCGCGATCCTGGGGATTCTAGCCCAAGACGCCTTACGATAAGAATGAACGTTTCGCCCAAGACGGCCTCAAGAGGAGGGCAGACGGCACAACGGGCTCCCAAGATGTCTCCAAGACAGTCCAAGAAGCCTCCAAGAGATACCCCAGGACGGCCCGAAGATGCCAAAATCATTGATTCTTCCTAGGTTTTTGAAGGATTGAAGCATTTGCTTCTTTTCGGTCTTCTGACGGCCCGAGACGACCCAAGAGCCCCCAAAAATCGCCCCAAGATCGCCCACGAGGACTCCAGGATGGCCCCAGAACGGCCCAAGAGGCCCCCAAGAAGGCCCCAAGAGGGCCCTAAGACGGCCCTAGAGGCCTCCAAGACGCCAAAGAGGCCTTGGAGCACCCCAAGAGGGCCCAAAAGTCAGCTTTGTGCCCCAAGACAGCTTCCGACGGCGTCAGACGGGCCAGGAATGCCCTAAGACTGCCAAAAAGGCCCCCCAAGATGCCTCCAGTAGGCTCCCAGGAAGCCCCCAGGAGGTCCCAAGAGTGCCCCCAGAGGCTCCCAAGAAGCCCCCTCCTCCTCCTCCTCCTCCTCCTCCTCCTCCTCCTCCTGATCTTCCCTGCCACCCTCCCCCAAGTGTTCACCGAAGGGTTTCCACAATGGCTGGGGGAACACATGGTCCGATAGCTTGGCAGAACTCTTGCCACAACGCTCGGCCATATGGGCTATTCCAAAAGGCAGCGGTCGGCAGTGATTCGCCGTAGGCGTCTTCGATCGGCCGCCCCCTGTGGTCTTGCCACAGGGGTGCCCGGCGTGCTAAGTTCGGATGGTTTTAGGCTCTTTTTGATCCTCCCACTGGGGCTTTGGCACAGCGCGCCAGCCACCCGGAAAGCTCCCAAATCTTGGTCTCCATTGTCCCCATCGGCTCCAAAAATGCCTCCAGGACGGCCAAGATGGCCCAAGAGAGCTCAAGATAGCGCCACGATGGTTTTCAGGACGGTCTCACGATGCTTCCACGACCAACAACATGGTCCAAGAGAGCCCACGACGGTGCCAGAATCGCCCAAGAGGCCCCGACGACGGCTCAAGAGGCCTCCACGACGTCCTCCAGGAAGGCTCCACGATGCCGAAGTAATTGTTCTTTTGGGTTTTTTGACGATTTGAGCCTTTGCTTCAACATGGCCGACTGCCCAAAACGGCCCAAGAAGCCTCCAAACTTGCCCCACGATCGCCCAAAAGGCCTCTAAGATGGCCCCAGGCCGGCCCAAGAGGCTCCCCAGACGGCCACCCGAAAGCCCCCAGACGGCCCAGGAGGCCTCCCAGACGCTCGAGATGGTCTCCACGACGGCCACAATGGCCCCAAGAAGACGCCCCAGAATGCACCCCAGACGGCCTAAACTGGCTGTAGCATTACCCAGGACGGCACAAGAAGCGCCCAAGAGGCCCCGAACACGGTTCAAGAGGCCGCCAAGAGATCTCCAGGAGTCTCCCGAAAGCTACAATCACTGAGTTTAGCAAGGTTTTTGGAGATGCTGGCATTTGCTTCAGCAGGGCGTTCCAATGACCCACGGCGACTTAAGAAGCTCCTAAGATTGCCCGAAGACTGCCCAAGAGGTCTCCAAAATGGACCCAGGACGGCCCGAGAGGCTACCAAGACGGCGCCCAAAGGACCCCAAGACGGCCCAAGATGCCTCGCAAACGCTCAAGATGGCCCCCTACAACGGCCACAATGCCCCAAAGAGAACCCGAGATGACCGCACAATGTCTCCAAGACGCTCCAGGATGCACGCAAGACGGCCTCAGATGGCCTGAGCATTACCAGGACGGCACAAGAAATCCACAGAAAGCCCCGACGACGGCTCGAGAGGCAGGAAGGCCCCAAGGAGCCAAAATGATTGATGCGACCTGGGTTTTGACGATGTTGGCATTTGCTTCCCAATGGCCGTCCGACGGCCCAAAACTGCTAAAGAGGCCCCCAGGATTGCTCCAAGATCGCCCAACAGGCCTCTCAGATGGTCCCAGGACGGCCCAAGAAGCTCCCAATATGGCCCCCAAAGGGCCCCCAGACGGCCCAAGAGGCCTCCCAGACGCTCGAGATGGTCTCCACGACGGCCACAATGGCTCCAAGATCATCCAAGATGGCAGCAAAATGTCGCCAAGATGCCCCGGGATGCACCCAAAACGGCCTAAGACAGCCTTAACATTACGCAAGACGGCCCAAGAAGCGCCCAAGAGGCCCGAATTCGGCTCCATACGCCTCCAAGAGGTTCTTCCAGGAATGCTCCCCAGGGCAAAACTCACTGATTGTCCTTGGGTGTTTGAAACTGTTGGGATTTGGTCCCAAAACTTCCGATTGCCGGAGACGGAGCAAGAGGCACCCGGGATCCTCCCAAGATCACCCAAGCTGCCTCCAAGAGGGCCCGCCCCAAGACGGCCCCAAAGGCCTCCAAGACAGACCCAAAGGCCTCCAAGACGGCCCAAGAGGCCTCCCAGACGCTCAAACTGGCCTTCACGACGGCCACAATGCTCCAAGGGTAATCCAATATGGTCGCAAAATAGCTCAAATACGCCCCAGGATGCATTCACGACGGCCTAGGGTGGCTTTCACATCACCCAGGACGATCCCAAAAGCGCCCACGGGGCCCTGAAGACGCCTCAAGAGGCCTCCGAGAAATCCTCCAACAAGGCCCCCAAAGGCCCAAATCACTGATTCTCCTTAAACACGTCACCGTTCGTGATGCGGGCCAACCTGTTTCCGTGCTGGCGAACAGGTCAGTCGCCCAACGCAATCACATCGGATGAATAATGTCGCCCCGCAATCGTGCCAAGCTGCTGCAACTCCAGGGCTGTGTTTCAGTCAACCCTCACACCTTTCGTGGCCCCATAGGGAGCTCCCCCTTCTTCCCACCTGCCCATAGTCACACCTCCTTCCGAGGTGCAGCAAGATCATCATATCGGTTCCTCAAGCGGTGGACATTGTCGGAGAGATAGTCTTTCGCCCGCGCGAATCCACTTCATGCGGGACACGCGCCGGCCAACTCGGGGCGTGCACAACTGTCGGTGCCTTCGTCTTTTGTCCTGCGTCCCGCCAGCGGGGTCCCGTCGGAGCCGGGCCGGGCGCAAGGCAGCCTTGCAGGGGGCACGCCTGAGGCCCGACGGTGGCGCCGGGCCAGGGGTGACCACAGAACGCATCACGTTAAAGAACGGGCGATGCTTGCTTGCCGCGCGGATGTGTCGTTCACGCACCTATGCTCTTGCACATGGGCCTGGAACATGGGCCCTGATGCATCGCAAGCCCGTGCCTGGTGGCACGAGGTGCAACACAACATCTCAAGGCCACGTTCCGTCTGCACTGAGTTGTTGGCCTCCTTTCTCAAATGGACATGAACCTCCGTACCGCTGATTGGTTCACCGCTCGTGCGCGAAAGTCGTGCTCGTGCGATCCTCTCTTGAGCGAGCGTCTGGAATGTGCACCACATCTCGCTATGAGCATGGCTTCATACACAACGTCTGCAATACTCGAACGACTGTGGCGCTCATCATCCCCTGCCATTGTCGGGCGCTGCCCAACCATGAGACGAAAACAAATCAGGCTGGCATAACGATACTCAGAATGCAGACGGAAACATACAAGGAGAAAACAACACACCCATGCCGCCGTCAAGACTAGACAAGACAAGACAAGAGCCCGCGTACAGGCACGTACGATAGGGGGGGCCTTTTCAGAGGGGAAGCATCGAAATCTGCGATATATCGCCGATCTATCGGCGATATGCCATGTTGGGCCGAAGGGTGGTGGGCCAAGACCGGCGGAGCGACCCGCTAAGTCAGAATTCCTGACATAAGTCGTGGGAGAAACAGCTTCCAGACTCCGAAGCTGTGAACAGAACGCCCGCCTTGACACATACTACGACGCGGGAGGCTAATAGGTCTCCCGGAGGGACCCCCGAGAGGCCAACCCCGAGGCCTCTTCAGGACTCGCGAGGCAACCACAAAAGAGTCCCAACACCTCTCTCGACCCTGTCCTCTGGGCTAGAGGAACAACACAACTGGATAAACAGAAACTTTCGGAGCTCCGCGCTGATTTCTTGGATCGGCGCTGGGCCCCCCCCTCCCTGGCGCACGGAGCGCGATAGTGGCTTCGCTGGAGGCGCCGCCAGGAGGGCCTCAGCACCGATCCAAGAAATCCGCGCGGAGCTCCAACAGTTTATGTTTACGTATCAACTTTTTGCTAGTCAATGGACCTCCTCGAGCTCGTTTTAAACTAGATTCGGGCAAGACTACTTGCATGGAGGGGGGGCGTTGCCCGAAAGGAAATCTGAACTTCAGGAAGTCGGGGCTCACATGCACGCCTTTTCGGCCCAGCGCTGGTTGAGAAGGCGGCGGAGGGGGGGGAGGGGAAATACCATGCAAGTAAACTTCCCAACATCTAATCAAAAAACACGCTCCTTCTCGATCCACGCGGTCCTTGGCGAGGCCGGCGGCTCCATCCCAGGTCGCCGCACCGCCGCCAGCGGAGCGCACGCGGACTGACTCCACTGGAGACGGCTTCTCCTGCTTGCGGGCCCGCATGGGAGGCTGGCCCTGGTCCGGGCGGCCAGGGGCCCTCCTCCCTCCCTCGCTCCTCCTCATCCACCTGACTCGTCTTCCCTCCTCCTCCTCCTCCTCCTCCTCCTCCTCCTCCTCATTCCTCTTTGCTTCCCTCCTCCTCATCCTCCTCCACCCCTGTTCCTCCACCTCCTCCTCCTCCTCCTCCCTCCCTCTTCCCGCCTCCCCCCTCCTCCCTGGGGCCATCCTCTCGTCCCGATTCGCGTCCTGACGCGCCCCTGGGTCTGAGAAGGGCCCCAACTGAACCCCTGGAAACGGCGAAGAGAATGGGACCCGCATCGCTCTGGGACGAGGTCCAACGACAAGGAGGGGGACCAACCCAGGGAGGGGGGGATACATCGGCCTGGAATCGGCGAGCAAGACGGCAATAGCCCTCCGATGGCGACACCGAACGTTCCTGGGCGGGGTGGGCTATCGGGCCCCCGCCGGCGATCGATGGGCTATTGGGGGTCGATGCGCTCTCCCCTGAGCCTGTCCCCCCTACGATGCCCCTGAGGGGCCCGTTCCCGCAGCACATAACATGAAAACGGCACAAACATATTTTTCTGCGGTTCGCGCAAATTTCTTGGATCTGCGCTGGACCCCCTCCCCGGCGCGCGCAGCGCGCAAGGGGCGGCGCTGCAAGCGCCGCCAACGGGGCCCAACGCCGATCCGAGACATTCGCGCGGACCAGTGGCAACAGATTCCCCAATCAGAGCTTGCCTCCTCTGTAGGGGTCCTCGCGGATTCATATGGTTAGGTGAGGTTTGCCACCGATTTCCGCGGCCCGCCCAGGTGCCAGGGTGCCTAGGTGCCCGGGTGCCTTCTAGCCCTATAGCCCTGCAGCCCTATAGACCTATAGCCTTCTAGCCCTATAGCCCGCTAGCCCTATAGCCCGCTAGCCCTATGGCCCTATAGCCTTGTAGATATATATATATATATATATATAGCCCTATCGCCATATAGCCCTATAGCCCTATAGCTCAATACACCTACAGCCCTATAGCTCAATAGCCCTACAGCCCAATGGCCCTATAGTCCTATAGCCTTATAGCCTGACAGGCCTATAGCCCTATCGCCCTAGAGCCCTATAGCTCTATAGCCCAATAGCCCTATATCCCTATAGCCCTGTAGCCTTATAGCCTTATAGCGCTATAGCCCTATAGCTCTAATTGCCTATAGCCCTATAGCCCCATAGCCCTATACCCATATAGCACCATAGCCCCATAGCCCTATGGCCCTATAGCCCCATAGCCCTATGACCCCAATAGCCCTGTAGCCCCATAGCCCCATAGCCCCATAGCCTCATAGCCCTATAGCCCTACAACCCCACAACCATATGGCCCTATAGACCGATAGCTCTATAGACCTATAGCCATATGGCCCAATAGCCCTAGAGTTCCATAGCCCTACACCCTTATAGCCTTATAGCCCAATCGCCCTAGAGCCCTAAAAAGACTTTGATAGGGGTTGTTCTTGGGGAGCACGGGATTCGATTTCAATTTCTGGTTTCGGTACCACTTTCGTGAATTTTCAAGATTCGGAACTGCTTCTTGTTTCCAATCTCACGGGATCTGGTTTCAAAACCAATGTTCTTAGTGTCAATACCAACTTTTGGTTTCAATAGCAGGCGATTTATGTTCAATGCCGGTGTTTTTGGTTTTGGTGCCACTTCTGGTCCTTCTCTTGTCTTCTCATCCTTCTGTCTTTTCTTCCTTCTCCTCCTTCCGTCCTCTCTTCCTTCCGTCCTCTCCTCTTTGGGTCTTCTCTTCCTTCCGTCCTCATCTCCTTCCGTCCTCTCCTCTTTCGGTCTTCTCTTCCTTCCGTCCTCTCCTCCTGCCATCTTCTCTTTCTTCCGTCCTCTCCTCCTCTTGTCCTTTTTCCGTCCTCTCCTCCTTCCATCCTCTCTTCTTTCCGCCCTTTCCTCCCATCTTCTCTCCTTTCCATCCTCTCCCGTCCTTTCCTCTTTCCGTCCTCTCCTTCCGTCCTGTCCTCCGTCCTTTCCGCTTTCCGTCCTGTCGTCCTTCCGTCCTCCCTTCCTTCCGTCATATCTTCCTTCCGTCTTCTCCTCTCTCCCGTCCTCTCGTCTTTCCGTCCTCTCCTCCTTTTGTCCTCTCCTGTTTCCGTCCTCTCCTTCTTCTGTCCTCTTTTCTTTCCGTCCTTTCCCCTTGCCGTCCTCTCCCGTCCTCTCTCCTTCCGTATTATTTTCCTTCCGTCCTCTCCTCCTTTCATTTTCCTGTCCTTCCATCTTCTTTTCCTTCTGTCTTCTCATCTTCCCGCCCTCATCTCCTTCCGGTTTTCCCTCCTTCCTTTCCGTTGTTTGTTTTCCGTTTTTTGCATTCTCCCTCCCCCCGCGCCCACTGGCATTGGCCACGACCCCGGAACAAACGCCGCCTCCAGTTCTGGGACCTGCCGGCATCGGCGTAGGCGGCGGCAACAGCTGCGGTGACGGCGGTGACGGCGGTATTGATGACGATAACGTGCGATATGACCGCGGTGATACGATGATATTTGCTGTTGCTTTTGGAAGCTGTTTGTCTCACGAATTTTCGTCTTCATCGTCTTCGGTGGAAGAGATAACGCCGAGATCCACGCACTACGGAAGAGAATCGTCCAAGTCGATACTTGCAGAGTCCGTCCCATCGAAAAGCCCATCTGCCAAGTCTAAGTCAACACTTGCCAGAAATGCCGCCTCTGACCCGAAAAAACCGTGCTCCATGATGCGGTCTTTTTCGCCGAACCGAAATCCCCGAACACCTTCAGCATCAAAGCATGTTGTCCGAAATAAGTATTAAAAAGTGGCTATCGCCTGGATAAGCGGTGTTTGGGTTTCTGCATGGGCAAACAGTGCACATAGATCAGGACATTGGGATTGTCGAAAACACCTGACTATCCACATCCAGTGACCGCAAGGACACCGAAACATCGCCCCCCCCAACACTCGCGATTTACAAATCCTTCTCTCGCATCTTGGGCGCCGGCGTTCGCAATGACGATTGGTGCTGGTTCAACTGCATCTTTTGCGTCTCCACCGCGGCCGCGACCACGGCCGCGACCGCGGCCCCGACCTCAAGAACCGTCCAGGCCGAACAATAATATCGGTATCTTTTCCTCGTCAGAACCTCGGCTCTGGCCGCCGCGCTCGATAAGCGGGCGTTTCCGCGTGCGCGTCCGCCCCCGCACGCGGCCTGTGATCCGTCTATGGTTTTCGGGGGGGTCGTCAGATAAGTGATTCACGTGCTCGAGGTGGTGCTGTAGCCACAATGTATGTTCTGTTTGTCCTGCAATTATAAAAGTCCTGGTGGTTTTCGGTAATCTGGCCAGTCGGGAACTGCATGAGGAGCGTATAGCTCCAGGACAAATACAGAATGTGCTTCTCGTCGATATCATCACATCATCACCCCCTTCTCCATTGCGTATCCCGAGGGAGAACCTAGATTCGTCTCTCGATATTGGAAAAGACCTTGTTGAGAAAGCGTTTCGAATTCACGAAACTTGGTTTCGTCGTAGTCCGCACCACTATACGTATTCAGGCCAAGCCCAAAACCGAAATCCTGAAGCGTCTTCGTGGTATAAATGGTAAGCGCCTTCCATTGTCATCCTAATCATGCCGTCCGTCACCAAAAGGCGAATTTATTGCTGCATTCTCGCATGGGTTTGGGTAAACCCCTGGAGGGCCAACTGACGGCGTCGTCGCAATAGTACCAAGCTTGGCCAAAAAGGTTCCTTTCCATTCCGCACTTCAGGGAAATAATCCTTGATTTTTGTTTCTGAGCGTGTGAAGGTGCTTCCTTCGAGATATTGCAATTCTTAGAACACGTCTGCATGTTTCAGAATATCTGTTGTTGCACGCCAAAATGATTCATCACATTACAAACATACGCAGAAAACAATAAGTGACATTCGTGATGGTGAACCCTGCCACTGGGCTTGCCACAGCGCCCCTTCCGTTATTTTCCTCCCCCTCCTCCTGGCTCTCCTTTTGATGTGTTCCTCTCCCCGTGCCCTCCCCGCGCCTATTCCCACCCCCCTTCTTCTCTGTCATTTTTGGCAAGACAGGGGTTCCGCGGGAAGACCCGAAAAAAAAACGCAAGGCGCACGACTCGCCCCGCGAGTAAAGAGGCAAGGCTCAACCCGGGCCGTCCCTACAGGAAAGCTTCACATATTTCTCAGCCTCGGAATCAACTTCGGAAACCGAGGATGAAACGTGACTTACATTTACATACCTACCTTCCTAGCTGTATACCTACATACAGTATATACATACACACATGCATACACATATGTTTACATACCTACCTACCTGCCTACCTATATACGTACATGTATACATACGTACGTAAACACATACCTGCATACATGCACACCCGCATGCACGCAATACGTTCATACGCACATACATACATACATACATGCATGCGTACGTGTGCACGCACGCACGTACATGCATGCATGCATTACTGCTGGGGGGAGGGCATGGGAGGGCAGCGGGAGGGGGGGGGGAGAGGAGGGACAAGTGGAAGAGGAGTTGGGGGAAGAAACGCCAAGGCCCCGAGGACGCTAAAACCAAAGTGCGAAGACTATCCCAAGTCGCGTCCAGGATGGCGCCCAAGATGGCCCCCAAAGTAGTTCGCGCCCCTATCACGACTGACCCGAGATGGCCCAAGATGCTTCCAAGAAGCCCCTGCGCGGGGCCACTCGCCAATTCCACGATACCCAAGGCGATTCCCGAGATGGCTCACGCGACCGACCGAAGATGCCTCTAAGTAGATCCGCTTCTCATGTGGTACGCATGTATGCATGCATGTGCGTGCGTACGTACACGCGTACGCATGTATGTCTGCGTGTGTATATGTATGTATGTATGTATGTATGTATGTATGTATGTATGTATGTATGTATGTATGTATGTGTATATACGGGCTGCACGCACGCCTGTTTCTATGCATGCTTGTGCCCAGACATGT